CCTGGAAGCCTTAGGAGATGTTTACTTTGGAGTGTGCAGAGGAACAGATCAAGGCTTGTGAACATAAATGTCTCAATAAGAGATGAGCAGTAGGCTTTGTATCCCCAGAGGTTCTGCTTTAACTCTATCAACCAATTAGCATGCTTATAATTTGGCAACAACTCTCTATTCTCATTAGTGGCTTAAATGCCTACTGGCTCATGTTTCCAGGCTTCACATTTCTTATCCCTGAAGTTTTCTCTCCCAAGACAGCATTTCACTCTCTATCCTAGCCTCTAGTTAACTGCAGGCAAATTGTATGTATGTCCATGTTATCTTTCCACAGGCCTGCCCTCATTCCAGCTGCATCCAATGCAGGTATCACCAAGGTGCACAGACACTGTGAGTGAGCAGAGTAAGTCCAGCTGATCACAGAGCATTAAGTGGAAATTCACACACTATTTTGACAGTTTTGAATACACATGGATGTGTGAAGACTGCAAACCTCAGCTTGAGCAAAAAAGACCATGTAAGTCGAAGTGGTTTTGACAGTACACTAAGGTATGTCTAAATTTAGACTTTATGCAGACATATTTTGAAAGTGTCAGGCAGATAAAAAGGGAAGTATGTCTCTTACTTCAGCTTAGAATTTATTTATGCAAATATGGATTATGGTTTACTTAATATAAATTCTTGGTTCTACCATTTACTTTGGATAGACATTGGAAGCTAAGAACAAAGATTTGAAAGCAGGAGACATTGGAAGCTAAGAACAAAGATTTGAAATCAGGATTTGTAATCTTTTTTCAGAGTATTCACAAGTTCCAAATATCCCTCTGATAACTGCAAATTTCCTAGAAGGTGCAAAACTTTGCTGGTTTTCAAATCTACTGACAAATGTCTAAATATGCATCAATTCTATTATTAATACATTATATCTGATATCTGGTATTGATGTGCCAGCAGCAATCACACTACAGTATATATTTTTTTTTTTTAATTCTCCTCGTCTTACTTCATATGATGCCTGGGGACCATGGTGATAAGAAATGTGAGTATATTATTCCACAGTGTGGAAAAAGTGTTAATATAGGCTATAGAAAACTTATTGCTGGCAGGTGACATTTACCAGACTGTTAAACATTTTGTTCCATTTGCACATTTTGCACTGAAATCCTGGTCCCAGGACTATATCCTTTGTTCAAGCTTTTATTGAATGTCTGGCAGACAGGTTTTGGCAGAACCAGTGTTACCTCCCATTGTGAGCCCTGTAGGAAAAGAAGTGGAGCGAAACAACTGTATAACTGGGTAAAAAGGCAGGCATTAAGCCATGGAAATTGCATCTTCTCATATGGTGACCAGCCAGGTATGGTTAGTTTGAACATTCTCCTCTTGCATTAAGGAAAGGGAAGCTGCAACTTCTCACTCTGAGCAAACTCCCATTTGTCAGAAGGTAATTCTCTTTTCAAACCATATTTTCAAGTTTCATTGCTTCTGAAGCATCTGAAATAATGAAAAGTTTGGGAACGTGATTGTACCTAGATGTGCAGCCTGTCACTGCCAGCAACACTGGATGAATTTTATTAACTTAATAATTAGTCTAGATCTGCAATAAAGAGTAATCAAAATCATCTGGTTCACATATGATTGTTCTTTGTTTAAAGTCACTGAATGTGTTTTCATTGCCATTCATTCCTGTAGTTGCAACATGACTGAAATCAAAACTGTTAATCAGAGAGACTCAAAACCAATGTAGACAGTCTTGAAGGATATTTAGCGTTCCAGTTCTGACTTCTCAGCTATTCACTGGAAAAACATCAAAAGATACTATAATATCACCTAATGTCAGTGATTTCTATTGAGTCTAGAAATGTTTTTCATTCAGTAAAATCCCACTTCTTGAAGTCAGGTAGTGAAGTACCACAAGGAAATGTCTAGTCCTTGAGATTGCATAAGAAATAATAAAAAATGTGAGGTACTCCAAAACAAAGGTGAACATTAAGAGTCATATTATTATGCTGTCAGTTGTAGGTTTTCAGCTATTTCTCAACATTTAAATCTGTCTTATTACTTTTACTTCTCTTAAGTTGGTGGCAGTGTTGGCTCCTCACAGAAGTGAGCCCAGCCGCTCTAGCAGATTCAATTAGTTCTTATTGAAATCAGTTTAAAATTGGTCTAATGACAACTGGTTTGGAGCTGCTGTCCAAACAGCTTTACAGTTTATTTGCCCTTTTCATAAAGGGGAAAGCCAAATCTACCAGAGTGACAGGGACAGAAACATGGCTGGATCCACAAATGGAGTACGGAGCGGCACAGATGCTCTTCCTTTCTGGGCAGTTGTGAGTCTGTGTGGCTCCCAGCGATGTAGAAAAGCCTCTGTATGCTCACGTGTGGCCAGGCAGGATCTGCTGGCCCGTGGTGTGGGCAGGGCACTGTCGCAGTGCAGTGGCACTATTGCCATCCCGGGCCACATTCCATCTAGGCATGATGTATGTAGCTTTTGCATCACCAGTGGATATGCTGAGCTGGGCAAATTGGCTGTGCTGACAGAGCAGCTCAAAATAGCCACATTCCCCCGGAGGCACAGTTTGTGAAATATAGTCTGGGAAATTCGGTATTTCTGTCAAGCAGTTTCATTTTGTGTCTCCTTGGCATCAGCTTTAATTTCCAAAACATGCAGCTAAGTGGCTGCTAAGTTATTAAAGCTACAGCTAGGACAGTGGTAAAAAAACTAAGATATCTATTTTGATGTATGTTTAGTGACTTCATACACCTAAATCTTGCCACATTTTTCCAGGATATTTAGGAATCCAAAATGGACATAGGGAGCAGGTGGTCTTCTTGAAGACACCTAAGAGGGTTATGCAGCAGACTTTTACTGAAATGATATGAAATATTGAAAGACACCTTCTCTTATAGGTAGTGATATCACAGTGAAAACTTTCCAGGACATGGCTACAGGGAGGTTAGAGCATGGAATAACAAGCATTATATAAGAAAAAAAAGTGGCAGCTAAGATAATTTAAACTGGAAAATGGTGAGACATGGGTGAGTAAAATCATTTTGTGAGACTCTCCAACAAGTCATTTTGGTCAGTACTACTTTGGCATGTAAGATCTGTTCCTATTTCCTTGCCACTCCCAGCCTAGTAAAACAAAATTTCAAGAATTCCTCCAAACTCAGCGCCATACTGATCTGGGTTGAATTCAGCATTTAGTTGCTCTCCTTAGCTCTCAGCTCCCATTCAAACCTAGAAATATGAAATAATAACTATCTTTAGTAAAATTAATCACAAGCATTTGGTTCACTAATGTCTTTGGCTTCTGGATGTCCTAATTACAGAATCAAGTGTATTTTTACATAGGTGCATGAGTAGTCTTAGGTGTCTCAATAATTTTCAGTTTTGAGATTACTCAAAATCAAACTTTCAAGTGGTAACTTCACCATATTTAAAAGCAGAAGCTACAAGAAAATTATTTCAGATTTTTAACATGATAGTCCTGCTGAATATATTCTAAGTGAATTCTTCAGTCAGTTTGATTGCGGTTTGACAAATTTTTAAACTTGGCAAATTCTTAGAACCAAATGTAACTTTAAGTATACTGCAGGGTAGGCAGGTACTTAACCTAGACTTACCCTGCTGAGTTTTTATGAATCAGATCTGAAGATTTGATTTGAGAGACTGGTGCTAGAGAAGACCTTGGATTGCTGAAGGCTAAGTCTTGACTCTGGCACAAGCATTGCATTTGCAGGAACTGTGTCTATTAAATTTGACTCATAATGAGATTCATAGAATGGGAAAATAACTTTATATAATGTTTGAATGTGGACAGTACAAACATCCCTTAAAGCATTTCCCAGTACCAAAGGTCAAGGGCATTGCTGCCAGAAATGTGTCTTTATTGTATGTGTATTTTTTAAACTTGATATTTAGAGAAAAACAGTATATTTCCAATAGCTATCACTTGCTGAAGGCCAAAATGAAGTTATGCTTTGGCAAGTAAATGCAAGTGACATAATTTGCAAAACTGACCACTGAGTTCAGATAGTTTTCACTGCTTACAAGAAGAAAAGACTTTTCAGATATGTCTTTGAACAGTCATGTACATCTTGTATTAAACCTATTAAACACAAGTTATTTGAACTTGTCTAATCAATATGCAACATCTTGTTTAAGACTGTTAGTTCAAGGACACCTAGATCTTCACCATAAGCAGAGAACTACTTATAAATAACCTTAACACTGAAATCAAAAAATTAAAGTTACAGTATACTGTTACAATATCATTAGAAAAATCAAAACACACACGTCATACACATAGAGATCACACCAAATCATTGCTAAAGTAAGATACAAATGTTTTGAATAGCATCATATAAGAATTCAAACTTGACGTCAGAAAGATAAAATCCTTTTGATATCAGTGACAGTGAATAATGCTTTTAAAAAACATTTTATGCTAAATTTCTGAGTTGGAATACTAGTTACTGAATTCAGATTCCTTCCATGGTTAACTAGCATAATCCATCTGTAATCCCCATAGTTGTGCTTCTTAGGTAAAATCAGAAATAAGATTTGTAATATTAAATTTCTCAAGAAATTGAGACTGCTGAATTCTATTTTTTTTATCTGAGCAATCAAACTTGTTATTTTTCTTTTTGGTAAAAACACATGGCACAGAAGATAGTTTTATACTGTCAACAGACTGACTTGAAAAATATAAATATATACTGTATTTATATATATAATGTGTATATACACTATTAACATTCACATTAGAGAATCTGAGCAATTTTGTTGAAATTCCTTTTAAGAAAGGCTTCTGATGTGATTTCATGTCACATAAAGCATTGAAAATGTTCAAGTGGACTATACGAAATGGAGCTTCTTAAATAAAACATACTTGTGAAATGTATGTGAATATGTGGGGTGGGGGTTTTAATGTATATTTTCCTTTCAGATCTGCAATTTCAACCAGTTATAACTTGCAAGTTGCAATAACTAAAATAGTTGTCTCGAGTCAGTGTTTTCTTTCAGCAGGCTGTTGCAGGCAGAGTTCACTCACTGAAGAAACTATAGGTAGATTATTCTCAAGGTGATAGTTGATGAGATGACTTATGCTGTCAAAGACATGATCTTTTGTACGAACCTTCAAAAAAAAAGATGCAAGAAGATAGATTAAAGAATAAGGTACTTTCCCCCTTAGCTTAACACTAAAATTATCTAAGAATAAAATGACAAAATAATATTTTAGAAACTGTTACCTCTTCCATCAAAATTGGTGGAAATTTGGTGCTTATCCAGTGTGGCTTCTATTTTCTCTCTCACTCCCCTATTTTCACCAAATAGATATTGTGCATGCACTTTCGTGGACCGGCCTACTCTTATTACTCTTTCTGAATAGGTCTGCTTGAAAACGTCTGTTCATGACTTTGTTTCACTGTCAGATTTTCTTCTTCAAAGGACCACCTACTTCTTTGAGATGTGTGTACCTTTTTAATCAGGAAGAGCTAACATGCCAGATGTGTCAGAAAACAGCTGCTTTGTACACCTCAGCATTTTTGTGCTTTTCTTCTTCCACTAATCAAAAATTCCATTCCTAGAAAGTGATCCATCCACCATATGTGCTTAACTTGGGTTTGTCCTATGCTGCACAATACATCCTGGTGCCTTTGGAACTGAAACACTTCAGGGCAGGAAAAATCATTTTTCTAGACCCCATGCCAGCTCTCTGTAGCAGCATCCTGCTGGTATACAATATTCCACCCACAGGTGGTGGATAGGACGAAACTGATATTGCAGGATAAAACAGTCAAAATTATCAGAACACAAAAACTAATCTATATTACAAAGCAATGTCTAATTATTTAGCCACATGTTCACAAAGCATTTCCTTCCTATGTTTCAAATGAGTTAGGCACACAACTGCTACAGGCAGAGCACAAATCCACCTCAAGCAAGCATGTTGCACTAAAACTTTGTATAGGGCTGGCTCTACACTGCCTCAAGCAAATGCCTGTGACCACTGTTCTGAGTAAGAAATGTTGTTTATTTTCCTTGATCTATTCTGAGGAAGAGAGAAAAACTTGTGTTAAAACTTTCAAAAGTCATCTTATGTTGTGGTGGACACCTCTCCTGAAATAACTCAGTTTCAACATTAAGTTCTGTAAAATTGCTAGAAGTTTAACACAATATGTCACAGGATTGAAAAAAAAAAAAAAGAAACAAATAACTATGATGCTATGATGGCATATGATGCTTTCTGGTCAGTCTACACATAGTTATATCACTGAAAGAAATGAAAAGGCTCTCCCAATTTCTGAAGAATTCTGCTTTGAAATATCACTGTCTCTAAAGTTAAACTATATTTTCAAAATGAAAATATATCTTCTAAAAAGCACTAACTTTACTTATCTGTATTCTGAGATGTTCTTACCTAAGTTAAACACTATCATTACAGAGGTCTAATTCTAAATGCAGAAAAATCCTGCAGTCCTCCATTTTAGGCATCTGTTGTCTGAATGAGGGATCTCTTTTTATATTTTTTTACTTTTTTGTTAGCTGGATGAGAGCAGAAGCAACTGGACAGTTAACTCTGCTCTGAGAACACACCCTTAAGACTTGTTACATGTCACTGGCTACTGTGTGTGAAATTAATTTTCAGGCAACATTTGTGTGAATCAGTCTTCAGGAACAATCCCACTGAGACCATGCAGATGAAATGCAAGCCACTGGCATGCTGTGGCAGCTGGCCACAGACTGGCATGTTATTGATGATTCTCCACTTTGACAAGCTGCAAATAGGGCTGCTCAGAAGCTGTGTCAAGATCTCACAAATCATACAGACAGCACAGCTGTCTGCAACTAACCACAGTTGCATAAAATCACTGTTCTGGAACAGTGCCTCCTGAGCCAGGCATCTCAGAGCCATTTGGGCCATGACAATACAATCAGGCTGAGGGAAGGATAGGTGCAAATAACAAGCAGGTCCCCAACCAAGGAGGTCAGCAAATTAGAGATGTAGAGGCAGAGCAGCAAAGATGGGGGAGCCCCTCCAACCTGTACAGGAAAAAGATGCTCTGGAAGTCATCACAGGAACTGAGTATTCCATGCCAGCCCTGCAGCAGAGCTCCTGGTGAGACGCAGCATTCCTGCACTTGCCAGGTCACACAGCAGCGTTTGCCATGCAGTAGCCTCTAACAGTTATTTGTGGGTTCAGGCGGAAAAGAGAATTAGGCTACCTTGTTGCAGGAGTCAACAAGGTAACCTAATTTTGGCAAGTTTTAGCGCAGAAGCTGTCCCTCAAGAGGCATAAAGTCACTCCCCACGGCTGATGTACCCATCAAACCCAGAACTAGGCAGCTGGCACCTCAAAAGTGCAAAATCATTCTTTGACTGGCCTCATGTGGCAAATATAACTAATTGCAACAAGTACCATGGACGCTCCTCACTACTGCAATACGGACTCTGCAGGACTGATGTAATTCTGTCACGGCTTTCTCAGATCAGATGCCAACAGGCCAACTCCTTTGTGGGAGTTTTCCCACTTATCTTGGGGCTGGTTATCTAAAACTGTCCTTTATAGAGGAAAAGGAGTTGCCTACTTGCAGCTATCAGGAGCTAAGAGTAAAACTCGTTAGAGTGATTTCAATCTCTCTGAAGAGTTTATGCCTCCACAGAAGCAGGACAGGACAGCTACAGAAAACTAGAGCTCCCTTGCCCCCTCCATCCTGCTGTGGGGACTGTCCCTTAATCAGCTGAGAGGGTCTTTTTGCAGCAAGGAGATGGATCAGGCTTACCCCAATTCTCTCCTGGGCATACATGCAGGAAAACACAGAGGGCCTGGTCCATATCCCAGGTATGCCAATATCCTGGGTATCCATATCCTAGAGATGCCAAGCAGACTAGCCAAACCTCCTTCCTTTAGCAAGAAAGCTGAAGTGGCTTAGCTGCACTTTTGACCAAGACTGCACAGCAGTGGTCCAAGTGTGAACTTGCTTGGGAATCAGATCCCTAAGATCCTAAGATCCTTTCAATGTGCAGAAATCATGTGCTAGGTCTTCTGCTAGGCATCAGGGAGAGAATTAGGGAGGTGATGGCACATCAGAGATATGAAGTGGTGCTTATGGTAAGGTGTGAACAAGCTGTAATGAAGACTAAAGGCATTTACAGAAAATGAGTAGAGTCAGAAACCTCATCTATTAGTGAGGAGTCAGTGCTTACAGTTCCTTCTGGGTCCACCAAAAGAAGATGCTTGGCTTGTCCTTTGTGCATGCCTGTCAGCACATAGGAGCCAGGATTCGTGGTACTCTTCCTCACAAGGAAATCTCCACATTTCTTTAATAGCTGTTCTGCTTCTTTCCTGCTCATCTCTCCTTGATACCATGGCTCTGCACTCAGCTCTTCAGCTTCAGTCTGGACAGCTACTCTAGATAAAGGAGGACTGGTGCATCCCGTGGAGGTGGATTTCTTCAACATAGCCTCAGATGTTTGATTCTTAAGAGCATCTTCAAATGGTTCTTGTTATGGAAATAGAAACAAGAGCACGATCATTCAGAGGTAAATTCAGAGGTAAAAGTAGCCAAATGGTGATTTTCTGATCATTTTAAACGGAATTTGTTTTGCATTACAACCACTTCTCTTTATCTTTATGAAAAAAATAAGAGAAGATACATTAATAGACATACTGATTTACATAATATATTAAGACTGAGGAGTGCAATGTTTTTAAAATATATGTTATGCACAGAATGGTACTGATAAAAATCAGCCTGAACCTTGGCAGGATATCTTGAAAGATACTGGTTTATTTAAGTAGTGGCTATTGTCAGCAGCTGTATTTATATGATCTGGTAGCAGGCAAATCTTTCCTTCAGTCTTTCTAGGTATGTCAGACAGTTTAATTTCAAATAAATTACATAATAGGGGTACCTAATGTCATTATACTCATATCTGGTTTCTGTTCAAACAACTTATTCATTTAAAAATTATCCATTACCAAGTCTCCAGCCCAAGGCTATGTCTAGTAGGGAACATTCACCCTCACCACTCAGCCTACTCCTACCTCCATCTAGGAAGAGAACTTCACAAAACAGACACAGGTTAAGACATTTAACACCATTTGCCTAGTTAAAACCAGCCTTGGGGAAGCATATTTTAAACCTCAGGTACCTCCTGAACTCAGTGCAACTGTAGAGTTGAGTAGAAAGAAGTGTCATTATGGATCCCAACAGTCTTACAAAAATAGCAAAGAGGGTGCACGGGGTGCTTTGTTACATGTTGTACTGACCTCTTCCTCTTGCACGACCTTCATCTCGCCCACCAGTACATATCAAAAATAAATGTTGTTCTGTGCCCCTAGGCTTACAAAAGGACATCTGGAGAGCAGCACAGAGAAGCGATACACCAGCTCTAAACAGATTGTTCAGAAGCAAGAAGTACAAAGCCCTGTTTGCATGGGGCCACAGAGAGGCTAGTTTAGGCCAAATAAATAGGAAAGATATTGTGCTGTTACTGTTTATTGATATGTCAGCCAGCTATTAAAAGTAGCTTATAAATGTCTTCACTATACCGCAGTCTGCATAAAGTCTAACATATGTTTATCTCAACAAGCCACTATCTTAGGACTAATTGGCACATTTTCTAATACTACTGTTCTCTGATGTTCCAATGGCTGATAACAGTTAACATCCCTGATTTCAAATAGCAGATTTTTCTCCTTTCAGACCTATATTCACAGACAGATACTCCATCAACTTTCTTCCCTCCTCCTTTCTTTCAATTGAACATCCCACTAGGTTGTGGAAATAGAGCCATATCTCAGCAAAAACATGCCAGGAAAATGTTTTTTTCTATACTAAGATAACAGAAGTGTAGATACTTTATTTTCAAATAATTTTTAGGCACCAACTACTTTTGTCTCACTGCCCTTTAATTATGTGAACTGAATTAAATAAAGCATGGAGAAGCAATTTATTTGAGGCAGGAAGAGAAAAAGGTAGAAAACCCAAAAAAATTTTCTGTGCATCAAATGCTTTCAGTCTTTCTTCACATTATATATCTATCTTCTCAAGTCTGAAAACAATGTGTATTAGTAGCACCAATACCAAACTATGGCTGATGCTTAAGCTGTGGTTTTGCAGCTATGGTGATGATTCTGATCTAGGAAAAGCTGCCTTCGAAGCTGGAACAGATAGGACAGCAGGCCTATCCAGACTAAGAAGTAAGTCAGTATTTTAATTTCCATGCTAGATTTCAGGTAGCACAAAGCTTTTCATATATGCATTGACTTCCTCATAACATACTCACAGGACAGGCTGAAGACAGTTCTTCACCTATCCATACCTTCACCCTCCTTTACTTTCCTGTATGGCAAGCTTCCTGATTAATTTTTCTTCTGACATAATTGTCCATGATATTAAGGATAACATGGACTGCAACTAAACTTAACTCGGATGTTACACAGACTAGCTCCAAGTCTTCAGCCACTCTTATTTTAGTTCCATCCAATATGAAACCACAATGGATATTAAAATTCACCATAATTACACAAGGAACACTACATTTCAAAAACTGATTTTTTTTTTTAATTAATACAGAACTAATGCATAAACATATTTGGTCACTTATTAGAAAGGAAGTGAATAGAAAGGGAACTCACTCATGTCAAACAGATCCATTCCTGGGCTGTTTGCTTCAGCATCCTCTACTGTTCCACTGAAGGTACTTTCAGCATCTGCCTGAAGTGCCAATAGATCTTCTCTATTTATATGCTGGGTGTTTACATATATTGGCAGATCTCCTGTTGGTGCTACTTCTGATTTCTCTTCTGACATACTACAAATATCCAGAGATCCTAGAAAAGTCAAGACTTGTTTTGTGTAATCGACAGAGCACTGCTGACCAATTATCATCACACCACATCACCACAGGTTTAAAATTTCCTGGACTGGGAGATATAAGTCAATAATTGTTTGATCTAGTAGAAAAAGTATTAATTAATGGATTCAGAACTGTGTTTCAATGTGGATATGGTTGGCTTATTTCCCAGGAGGAAAGGAAATCTTTGTAAATAAAGATTGTAAATTTCAAAAATTATATTCTGTTGGGGAGTTATGAGAGGAGGAGAAGGTATAAAATCCTCAAATATGTACAGATTAACAATAGGGAATATATTCTGGCCTTTGAACAAAAGTGTCCCCAGAAACACAGTAAAATAAAGCTGAATGGGGTGAAACTTTTATATGTGTTTTGAAATTACTTGAAATTCAAAGACAACAAAAGGAACATTATTCACTATTTGCTATTTATTGAGTAGAGAACATTGGTTCACATTTTGAATTAAACTTTTCACTTTAGGTTTTTCATTTAAAAATTCTGTTTTGTATACCCTAGTGGGTAACATTTTCAGAACAGATCATGCAGCAGACCCTTAAATATCATGGGGTTTTAAGATATAGAAAGTTAGAAAGCTGAAATTCTGGGTAATTCTATTTATGTACTGCTCTGCAGAAAAAAATATTTAATGAAGGTGTGCATTTAATAATTTATCCAGAGGTAATTATCAAGTACTTTTCACTGGTATCAACACTGAAACTCAGACAAGGGGAACCTATCAACCAAGTTCCGTTCATTGCCTTAAGGCTTTGAGGCACCAGAGTTTCACATGCTTTGTCCTTCAAGACCACCTGCAGTATTACAGCTAAAAGTAGCAAAACTCACCTTGTTTAACAGGCCCGTGATGCCATTCTTCACTGAATTTTTCTCCTAAGTGATGGCTCTGATAATAAATTTGTTCTCCTCCAATTCTTGATGCAGACTAGAATGGACACATGTGCAAGCAATTTTTAAATTGCCTTTAAAATGCTCAAACACATTACAAGCGGCTCTGCCAATTCCCTTGGATGTATTTTGTGTACCCTCACTCTTCCTTTCCAATTCATCATAATTTCAGAACATATATGTATCCCAAATACATTTGCTTAAGTGTAAGATATTACCAGTCACCTTCAGGTGTTCTTCCCTGGTTTCTGCTTTTAGTGACCCCCTGTGACACCAAATGATGCCTAATTTCTTTAGTTTCTACCACGTAGTGAGTCTTGTCAACCTGTTACTGGGAAAAGTGTTCCACAGAAACACAGCTGGGACCAGAAGACAACCCCAGCACTCTTCACCATAAGCTGAAAGATTCACCCTGGTGCCAGGGGAAGTACTTGGGCATTGAGGGGAGGATGTTGGCTACAGACAGGATCCCTCAGGATTTAAGCAAATTTGTGCTGGATCCGAAAACACCTCTTAGGGGGCTACATTGATACTGCAGTCAAACTTTCAACAGGAGTGCTGGCAGAAATATTCAAGCTGACCTTAGTTCAACATGAGGTGCAAAACCTACCTAAGAACCTGGCTGAATACTGATCACTCCCGAGTCATTAACATAATGAACTGTTAGTATGGCTGCACTAGATTGTTTAAATGATTCTGCATTAAATCATTCCCAGTTAATGTGCACTATTTGATACTCTCTGAAGCAGACATGGTTTTTGCAAATGTAGTAGCCCCTAGTGGATTTCTGTTCCTTGAACCTCATTAATCTTTTAATACCACAAGGATTTCGCCACCTTTAACTTGTTCTGATTCTGCCTAATGTGTTGCCCTCTCAATCTGCAATGGCTATTCAGACGGAAACTGGCCACACAGGAAAGGCTGTGAATTACAGGCAGTCCCAAGGTATCCACAATAAAACACGTCTTTTAAAAATTTTGGATCGATCAGCAGGAGAGTAGAAATGAAATTATATTTACCTGAGCTGTGTCTGCAGCAGTGAGAAGCCTTGTTTTGAGCCTGGCATCAAGGAATCCGCCAGGGGGAGGTATTTTATTTGGGATGTCGTTGTAATAGGGATGCTCTGTTGCCTCGTTATCTTCCTCTGTCCATGGGTCCTCAAAACTCTGCATCCTGTAAGGAAGAGAGTGCTTTCTTTTGCCTCTCGTTTAAAGATACTTTTTAAAGCACTTACAGACACTTTCAGCGGGTTAAGACTGCCTGTCAGAGGATCACTACAGCATATTGTATGGACACTTCAGCTACCACTGTAAGTCAGGAAGCAATGATGGATCATGTGTCAAGTCTTCTCTGTTTAGTCAAACTGACATAAACCTCCTTTGCAATGAACCAAATTCTTTATTCTGAGAAGAGTATGTTTGAACTTGGCTTTAAAGACCATTATAAACTGCATTAACAAACAACTTTATCTAACCTTAAAATAGCACTTGTAATATTATGACTTGATTGACTGACTAGGCTCTAAATCTTTGTCTTTAGTTATGACTGCTCTATCACCAATGTAATTCTGTAAGAACCTCACAAAGTCAAGAGATGTGAATATAGCATGCTTCCAGATTAGGATAGTAGCATTGTCCCTATATAACTGTTTTTGCTCTGATGTAAGAGATTACAGAGGGTAAAAGTTCACTAGGGTTTCTAGTAATGTTAGTAAGCACATAGCAATCCATGTCTCCAAAGAAAACAAAATACTATATCCCAGCCTTTTGAACATATACAAGGAGAGTTTGTATCCTCCAGATCTCAGTGCAGTCAAACCTCCCTGCAATATATCACATTACTAGAAACATCACCCTAATATGAGAAATACTGAAACACCATTAGTCATTTGGAATCCCAGCAGTCTAACCTACTCCATCTAAACTGACACAGCTGCTGTGACAGTAATGAGGAAATGCCACAAATAACAACCATTCTTGGCCATCCATCTCTGCCTACTAACTAGAGCACAAAACAGAAGATCGTTTTAACATCATTGTAAAATCCATATTTAGTCTATCTTAAACTGTACTTTCATGTTCATTAGGCAAACACTGTTTTGCTAATACAGCAGAAATAATTTTTAAGTATTCAAGTCCTGTCTGTGCCCAGCAACATTATCCACATTTTATCAAGTAAACTGAAAGCTAAAGAAGGTCCTTCTGCAATTGCACTCACCTATCAGATAAAGTAGGTGCCTTAGAGGGGCATTGCAAGTACTGCTTAAATCGAAGCTCGAATGCTTGCCCTATGGTGCTGATGACATCCTGGGCAAGGCCATCACAGCATTCCAGTATATGACAAGCTAAATAAAAAAGATTGACACATGCAAATCACTGTTTATGTCATGGTGGGATGCAATGACCTATGACAAAATACCTACATGTCAAGCTTAGTGATGTGCACATTTCAATAAAAGCCAATTCTGAAACTGTGAATTTCAGGTAATCACAACTTTTTAAAGGTTACATAAAATGGGACTAATGTATAACTGCAATAGACAAGATCACAAATCTGTTCCACTATTTTAACAAGTCCACGAACAGAAAAAACCTTATAACATTTCACTTGTTATTACCTGAATGCAATAGATTATGTAAGAATTCTAAGCTTTAAATTTAAATTACACAAATATTAATAGATGGTAATAACAGTAAAAGCTCTTTTTTTTTTTTCTCCACAGTTTAATTACTTCACTTTTATGTCTAATCACCCCAAGTTCACAAGCTGCTCTCTTTTCCCAAATTACAGTCTGAGGGAGGAGCAGTGTCCACAGATACTTCCTACATAATGAGCCCTGATCTTATTCCAGGAATACAGAGGTTGGTACCTTTTCCTGCTTGTTTGCATGGAGACACTCCCAGCAAACTGCAGGGCTGCTGAGAAATACAGAGCCAGCAATCTGATTAGCTCCAGCACTTCCCCATGTGCAACTTCTCTGAACCCACCCACTGAGGCAGTAAAGGGGGAGGACAGCAACATAAGCTCTCTTCCAATAAAGACTGCGAAACCTTTATCAGCTATCTGTGCAGATATATCTGTACTGGTTTTAAATCAGAGAATGGCTTGGAAGTCTCATCATATGTGAAAACATAAAGAGGTGAACTTGACAAGTTCCTGCAACTCAACATTGCAGGAACATAAATGGGTGCTAAGAGGTGGAAGCTAAAGATCTCAATAAACAACATCTCAGTGATGTCCAGAGAAGCCCAGGTGAGTTAATTTTCCATACTCAGAGTTGGACAAGCATATTGTCTGCTGGCTATAGCAGATTGGACTGGATTTCAAACTGGCTCTTTTCCAAGTTCTGCCACAGGAAAGTGGGTTCTTGTTCAAAGCTACTGTTTTGTTCACCCCTGACTGCTTTAATAACCTGACTATAAAGTCCTCAGCTGAAAAACTGCATTTTAGTACATGCCCAGTGTCCAACTCACTGGAACCAAGTGCATTGGATGCCAGTGTCCTACAAATAAGGGTTGATTCTGACATTTAGATAAAGCAATACAGGCAGACGAAGTAGGTTTAGATATGACTTTCTCAGAGGTTGAAATATTGGATAGACTTCTGGAGAGGCCAGAAAAAGGGCCAAGAAACCTGCAGTTGCTAGTCTGGAATGTCTGCTCTCTCTTCTTCAGCAGCAGCAGCAGCAGCAGCACCACCTCATTCAGCATGAGATGGCACCGATCACAGTGCCAGACAGATACAGTGGTGTTCTCTTCTCACCCTAGAGCATCTGCTATGCCAACCAGCAAGCTGAAATGCCTCGTCCAGGGAAAACGCCCCTAGATACATGTTGAAAGTGGATTCAGCAGACAAAAACAGGACCTCCATGCGTCCAAAAACAGAGGCAGACATCCCTGACTAGCAGTGAGGCATTTGTTTTTTTATGCCCTCTGCAATACTGCTATTGGCCTTGAACAATCAGCCCCCGTGGAAGGTGCACATTTATCTCTGAAAACGTGGACCAAAAGTAGTTAGGCCAAACAAAGCTAAAATGTTTGCACTCCATAACTAGAGTGCAAATTTAAGGAGGCGATATCGCTCACTGCTAAACCTTTCTGGAGCTGAAATGAAGCATGAGTCATTAAGTAGTTTCAGTAGGTGACATAATGAGTAACCTGTTTCCTTGGATACGTGAATGGACTTTCAGCAGGTAGGAGATACGCTTCTTGTAAAAGCATGAGAAGGTTTGGCTCACACAGAGATGATTTCTTGTGAATGTTACAGCAGAAAATAGACAGCCTTGAACTCGCTAGATCCAGAATGCAAAGCACGAAGTTAGCTATTCCATCCTTGTGAAGAAATGAATCCAATATGCAAGCTATACTACAGCATTGGTGGTAGGGTAGCATCAGTAACAGCAGCAGTAACATTTTCGCTAGATACAGATATAAAGACAAATCCCCTTTTAAAGTAATTTGCAGACAACACAAAGAATGACAGAACAGCAAGTGATGGTAAAAGAGGGCAATTCAGGTCCCTTGGTAAATTAGACCCTTTTAATAGGTGACATACAAAGTCACTGATCCGCAAAACACTGACGAGTGTTGTACACAGATGAGTGGGGAAAGCACCCATAGGAAAGCCATAATGCTGAAGGCTTAAAGACCACAGCATGAAAGAATTTCACATGAGGTAACAGTGCTTCACTGCAGCAAAAAGGGCTTAGAAGGGACCAGATGAAGAAGAAGACAAAACGAAGGAAAAATAAGAAGGTGCATTCTCTGCTATAGTGACAGCCCCTGTTATGTAGATATCATATGCCTTTTTGAAAGAGCTGCAGAAAAATGAAGGAAGGAGGTACAGAAATTATCTGAAGGGTGGAGGATGTGCACTGCAGCTGGAATGCTACAATCAGTCAATCTTTTTATAAAGAAAACTGAGAAATTACTTGACCTGAGTACACCAAAGGAAGACAACAATATCAGGTGCTCAAATGACTTCTCAGTCTAGGATAGCCTAGCTCAACAAGGAACAGTCATAGGAAGTTAAGGATGTAAGATAGAAGGAACATAATACAGGAAGAACATAGTGCAGGAGGAACATGACAGAAGACAGAGCACAGGGCTCCTCCAAACTCTACAGAGCATATATCTGGCCTACAGTGCTAGTCCCTACACTGACTGAGATCTCTCAGAACAGCTAAATCAGTCTTGGATTTAGCAGAAGGCTACTGCTAAAGCAGGTGGGCTGGAGAGCAGCTCTGCACCATGCATTCCATAGTCTGACACTGGAGCCTGTCCAACAGGATATTGTAATGGAACAAGCATTGCAAAGAACTGGACTATTCCCTACCTCCCATTCCCTTTAAGTTTTCTAGGTATTTAACTTACATTCAGCAAATTAGTACGCTTTGGGCAGGTATTATTTATGACCTAATACCCTCAAGTCTGAATATCTCTGCACATGGACTCAGCAGATTCTTCAGATATCGTTAAAGATGACTACATATGGAAGCTACTGTGTCAGTTGTGCTGATGGTAAGGCGGGCAGCTGAGCGTTTGGCAGGATTGGCATTTTGGAGATAAAGTGTCTGAATTTTCCAGAAATCCTATTGGAAGTACTTACTGTCTCTTAATGTCTGTTTTTTGGGGGTTTTTTTTTGTTTTTGTTTTTTTTTTTTTTTTGAGATAGTCTGATCTTCTCTCTTTATGATCTATGACTAGTAAGTAGATTCTCAGGTACATTACAAAATACTTTGTATGTTGCATTAAGACCTAGTGAACACAATCAATAAGCAGGTCCCTATCCCTGACTGATTGCAACTAAAGCAATACAACCTTGAATAAAACTTTACTGAGAAAGAGAATTACAGCAAGCTGGCTGTAAAGCTAGTTATTTGATAAAGAATCTGATTCTGCCAGGAAGACTTAGGTGTGTACTAGGAAGACCTAACAGATACAGCTGCCTCATCAGAGGATTTAATCAGAAGACTTCTTAGCTCTTGCACATTGATTGGGTGTAGGTGAGACTTGGCTGTTGCCTAGAAGCTTACACAGCCAAGTAAGGCAAGTGTTTGATTTAAGAGATGAAGAGAATCACAGTGATATTTGGGTATGAACTAGCAGCAAGACCTATTTATTCCAAGCTTGAGAGAAAACTGCTGCTTCTTATTGCACAATCTTTCCATGGCTCTGTCACAGGCCATCCTTTGATTGGGCTACATTCTACATTCATGTTTTTCAGGGTGGGATGGGGGGGAGGAGGTGTTATCTGACCTAAACCATTAATAATTAGTGTTTTTCAAAGAAAAAATAGACAACAAATAGATATTTATAACTTACCTCTACGATTAACAGGATCCTTAGCTACATATGCAATATAGTCTGAAGTATCCTGTCAAAAAATTAAGATACCTACAATGAATGCAAAAACATATTTGCACAGATTACAGCAAAAGATCACAGTCCAGAGTATGTACAGTCCTTTGGGCAGAGCCCCAAATGACATATTTTGCACTACAGATGCATACTACTTAAACCCCCATATAAACGTTTATGAGTCTTCATTTCCTTTTACCACTTGCCTTTTTACAGAATATTATCTAATCCAGCAGAATTTTAAAATCTCTTCTATCAATCAAACAAACTCAGTAGGATTTGGCCCAGGCCTCATTTAGGAGGAAATAGAATTGCAAATCCTTATCTTCAAACTACCCAGAGATTTTGGTTCATAACATGAATAATCATCTGGTTCTGTGGCAGAAAGAGTGGGAGTAACAGCGCTGCTCCTCAGAACTACTGAGCAATGGCATTTATTCATGTGTGACAAGCAGGTGTTTACTGACTACAGTGCCATATGGCACAGAGGTGTTCAGCCACTGCTTGGCTCTGACAAGCAGTATCCCAGTATCCCTGCACGCCCTCCCCCTGCCCTTAGGCTGCTCCCTGACACACCTGTTGCCACATGCCTGGTGGATTTTCCGGCAAGAGCACACAGACATCTTCTTGCAGGATTTTTTTCTTCCTCTACTGCCACTCTATGCTCCTGTGCACAAATGGTGCAGACTTCTATTATTATGCAGATGAAACAGAAAGGCCTGGGTTTCTGGGAAACACTTAGGCCTGCTGATAAATCTGAAAAATGCCATATTGCCTTGATGCAATCAGGAAGTCCTGGTTAGGTCTGGTATTTCCTGACATGCCTGGCTGGTCAGGTATGCTAAACCCAAGGGATACACAGGCTGCGTTACAGCTGGCTGTGTAAATCTACACCTTTTCAGGTGACTGATCCAAGATAATTGCCAATTATGCCAAGATCTAATGTCATAATAAACATCAATCTTCAGTTAAAAGATAGACTTCTTCAGCACAGTTTTTTCTAGTGCAAGCATATACCACCACCAGCCACCCAAAACAAATCACTGTACTGAACGTCTACACAATTTCCTTCCTAAGGAGAGAGCAAGGGAAATGATGAAGCACAGTCATGGGCTCTGGTGACAGATGTGTAACCATGTCAGTTAATGCATTGTTGGAAGGCACTCAGACATGGCAGCAGTGAGGCTGGTCTGTTAAAAAAGCATAGCCCTACCATTTTGTCTCATAATTTCTCACACATCCTGTGGCACAGTGTCTGGGCAGTGACTACAGTGGAAATAAGGATGCATATCAACAAGTAAGGGGAAAACAAAGGTGACTATATCTATAGTACCAAATAATACAGAGCTCTTGTCTCACTGTACTAGCTTCTCACAGCATGCCCTGAAACTCTCTGAGGGACCAGCACATGCTTGGCATCAATCCCAAGAGACCACTACGAGGGAAGAGAGTGAATGTGTGGGTGCAAATTGCACTGTGTTATTTATTTCAGGGCCAGAAACACTAGAAAATGGGCCACAGATCAATTTATTTACTACTTCAAGCATAGCTAATGGATACATTTATGCCTGAGTAAATCATAGATCTATTTCATAGCTAGCGTGGTGTGACAGTCTGAAATCACCTACACCTTATTTCATTTAAAGCTCTGAGATTCAAGCTGACTATGACAAACCATTAAGGACCTAAGGTGGGCACATTTCATTGTGTCTAAGTTAGAAGACCCTCATCCAAAAACTGTACAGGACTTGGCTGATTCAGCAAAGTGATCCTTGACATTCAAGAACTGAAAACATGTATGAAACAAGTATGAATGAGCTGTAATTTTCAGCCTAAAGACATTGCATTGTAGTGTTAAAATGTGGAGGTATTGCTGAAATTGAAAAACCACTGCCTTCAGGGACCTCTGATAGACCTGCCTTATTAGACCTCATGACATCCTCCACTCCAAAATTTCAGCAGATATCTCCAAAAAACAGATGTCTTCTCTGACAGCCTGGAAACAGCCACCTGAAATTACTGTGGAGCAAAATTGTTTAGCGTATCACAGGAGGGGCTGAAGAGAGCTAAAGCAGATTGAGAACACAGCCTTGGAAGTGAAATAAAAATGGTTCTGAAATGGCACATAAAAGGATTTGGTACAGAGATTTTTAAGCTCCCATATTCTGGCACAGCCAGAATATGCAAAGGAGAATACTGTCCTTTCTCAAGAACTGTGGAACACTTCTCCAGGTGTTATATTTTGAATAATATAATTAATGGAAAGGGAGTGGAAGGAAGGTGGTAAAGGCAACTGCTATGACAAATGGAGGCAGAGATCCTGAGCAGAAAGGCTGGCAGGGTAGAGAAGTGAGAGCTATCTCACCTCCTAGTAAACCAAACTCCAAAATAACTTCAAAATAAGGGAATCACTTCCTGAAGAAACATGGGCACATTTCTAGCTTCCTAAGTCACTATGGCTTTTCTCCAACCTGTTTAAAAGTCATATAAGGAGATACATTTTTGGTCTGGAGGCCAGCTGTGGTTGGGAGATGCAGTTTGGTGGTGGCAGTCCACTACCAAGTAGAAATCATTAAGGGCTGATGAAAGTTATGTTTAGATACCTCTCTGATGAGTAAATAAAGCTGTGAGCTAAATCACATCCTTGCATTTTGTCATCTTCAACATGCACCCAGGACAAAGGAACTAGCTGCTTTTTGCACAAGCTTTTGAGTTAAAGATCTTCTTTACTTGACCAGAGAGAAGCTTGTAGAAAAACATTAGATACTTATACCTACTTTCTTCCTCCCAACATCAGAATGAATTCATGCAGTAGTCTTATTGGGAACACAAATTCATAATTTTACTGTACCTTGTAGGTTCCCTTGCACCATGCAATTTTATTTCTCTGGTAGCTCACTGACTCAGTAGCGAGATTTTTATCTCTTTAAAACATTTGGAAGAGCTTGTTTACTCCAAATCCAGAACTCTACTGCTGTTCCTCTCCTCTTTCCTTGTAAATCATTTCATCAGTGGGCAGTGTGAAATGGTGTTTCCAGGACCTAGCATTTGGGATGGCAGATGGGTAGCAAAGAATCTTCTTACGGAGGCAGGGAACTGTGCTAATCACTCCTCTGCCCACTTCAGGAATTGTTCATTTACAGCATCCATTGCAATCTGTTGTGTTTCCAAGCCACTGTTGATCCATTTTTTGTTCCCCAAATTTTTGTGATATTGTGTCCTTTTCCCTTCTGCAATCGTACTGAGCTCAGTGAAGCTATACTAAGATAAAATTTGTCTTTATGTTTTCTGACAAAAACATAATGAACAGAGAAAGCACCAAGCATCTTCACCTTAACAGAATTGAACTGAGAGAATTAACTCCCAAAGCAAGCTAGAAATTGCCTTACTTGTAGTACATAATTGATATATGACAGATAATCACATGATGGAGAAAAAGGTACTCATTCAATTAATCTAAGTTTAAAAGCTTTCAAACTTCTTAGGTAAGAGGTAAGCACTGTCACTAATTTATATTTTTCCCATTGCTTCCTGAATGACAAATACTTTTGAAGCCCATTTATTAATATACCTTTGGATGATCAGGTTATAAAAATAAGGAAAAGCACAATAAGCAGGAATCTGCCCTTTGATCTAAATAAATAAATTTTGTAGGTGCATCTAAAAGCTTTGCAAAACAGAAAAGAAAGACCTGTGCTTTTCCTGAAAGCCTGTCTTCAACCTGCATGACTGTAGCAAATATACCTGCAGGCAGAATTTAGCACAGTCTTCTCAATTCACACTTACAGTTGAGAAGAAAAAAAAAAAGAAAGAAAAGCATGCATTATTATAAATACTATAAATTCTATAAATATAGCTGCAACATATTCTATTGTTGTAAGAAGTGCAAGACAAATAACAGGATAAAAATCCATACAATGCCCATATAACTATTCTACATTACTCTGAAAAACAAAGCCCTGCTTATCAGTTGCTATATGAATGCTTACAGCCCCTTGATATTTTTTGTGACAGTCATTCAAAGGGGAGGATCCATGAATGCTTGTCAGCCATTCTGCTCAAAGAGAGCTTGATGGCAACAATCAAGAAAAATTTATGAAAGAAGAAACAGGAGCTGTTGTGATTTTTTCTTTTAGTAAGATATGCTTTAAATTTTGTCACACAGCCCTCGTAAAGCAGTTTCTATGTGGGAGAACGCTTTACAGCAACGCTTACCGGATCACCTCCAGACGCAAAGGAGATAGATTGCATATGGTGATTTGCTATGATCTGTATGGATCAGAAAGAACAAGTGTGAGTCAGATGGGTTTCTTACAGTTTGCAATTCTGATTTCTGTTTTTTTGCTTGTATGCTGGTGAAAATCCAAAATCAAGATCAAATAAGGACCTATAAGGACTTCAAAGAATAGCAAGATAGCATAAACAAACTTAAGGATAAATGTTTCTATTCTGGTGTTCTTTAAAATGTATCAGGATACTGCAAGATTGCTAAATGTACTCAGAAGTCTACTAAATCATACAGACCTGTCAGAGAGTGTCTTTGGAGAAATTTTAATCTGCTAAAACTCACTTTCTTTATTACAGATAATGATGAATGAAACAAAAGGTCCTATTCATCAAACCATTTTTCTGCTGATGCCACTCTGGTGAAATCAATGAAACCATGCCAACCTCTACACCAGCTAAGATTCCTAACATTGCATCCAACACCTACTGTGTCATTTTATGTTTCAAACATCAACATGTTTACAATATGCAAATAGAATTTTGAATCTAGCTGCAGTGTAGCATTGTGGACAAATTCACAGGCACACTCCAGGCCATTTGAAATTCAAATTGCTTATGTACAATTTGAACTAATATGTTATTTCTCTGGGAAAAGACAATTTGTCCTGAACCTCTAATAAAAGCAGAACATCTCTGCTATTCTGAGAATCAACTTACAAAATCTTTTAATAATGAAATCATGTAACAACCAAGAAAGAAAAGGTCATTTGAAAGAAATTTTCACTTGATATTTGAGTCACAGAAGCCATGCCAAGGAACTCATCTGGGATGGAACAGGCCACTGTTAAGTGCCTCAGAGCTTCTCACAATAAGATTTAGGATCTTGATTCTTCACTTTGGAGAGGGAACCACATACAAAAAACCATTCTGGAAAAAACAAAATAGACTAGAAAAATATTCTCTCTGCTGTTTCCCCTAACCTGCTTCTTAAAGACCTGAACTATCAACTACCTTCCTTAGAAAAAAAAAAATCTGACAGAATATTCTCTGGATCTTGCTGATTCACCAAGTCAGAGAGAGGTGACAACTATTTGTAGTGTTTCTTTTATGGAAAGAGCACTTCATTTTCAATAGCCCTGCTTTTCCCACAACAGCCTCCAAAGATGTGTTTGGTTTTTAAGTGTATACTTGTAAATTAGTGTTCTGCTACCCAGCAGTGAAGATTTCCTTCTCTTGTTCCCCTTGAAGAAGTAACAATAGAATATATAGTACATAGAATACATATAGAATGTAGATTATGTTAACAACAGAACTGAAGTAGTAAAGTTCTGTCACGCAATTTCATATTATCACTATCCTGACTTGTGCACATAACCTAATCTTTTATTTCAGCATGTAAAAGAAAAATAATTTCAGATTGTCACTAAACTAATTTTTCCAAAATTTTAAGGAAGCTGAAAAGTGCTTGAAATCATTAGTTCAAGTCAGGCAGGTTTTTTAATTCCACAGCTAATTTAGTTTGAAGTAGGAGTGTTCCCCACCTCACCTCTACCAATATCAAAATACTGAACAGAAATACAGCAAAGTATCAATGCCTTGCACTGTTTAAAATAAAACAATTCACTAATGTTGGCATACAGTTCAGAAGCATTTTAATCTATGCCAACCTTCATTTTAAAGAAATAAGCAAAACAAAATCATGTTCCATTCATCCCTGCTTAATATGTTCACAGAACTGTTGTGCAGGGGTACATGCAGCTACTTTCCTTCTACCACAAGGGCCAACAACCCTGGCTTGTCTTTTCTTTCCTTTCAGATCTGCTGGGAAAAAGAAACTATTACAGAAGTTTGCAGCCATCCTCCTGTGTGGGGCCTCACAGGGGAAAGCTGCTGGGCCATGCTTATCTGCAAATCAAATCCTTGGCATAAAAAAGAAACAGGGGAGGCCACAGCCAGACAAGGGATCTCTGAGAAACCAGACATTTCCCAGGCCTGCAGCACCCAGAAGTGTCTACCTCAAAAAGAATATAAGAGAAAGATGAACAGTTTTGTAAATTCAGAGAAAAAGGCAAAACATGTAGGGGATGACTCTTTGAAATAAATGAGTTTAACTACATTTCTGCCATAGCACTGGCTGATGACAAGCTGACTTTCAGGGTTTGGCACTTCCTTAGTAAAGCTAATTAACATCGCGTTCTTATGCTTCTGATGGGGAGTAACTATCTTTATGAAAAGCACTGCTATGTATATTCCATACTAAGGCTACAGACTACTGCCAGTCATAGCCCTGCTCCCCCAGTCTCAGTGCTCACTGCAGAGAATTGTGATGTTTTCTAAATAAGAATAAGAATGAAGATATACGAATAAAAACATAGTAATGAAAAGCAAGATTTTTAATAAATGGTATGTATATATATTCTTTCTTATTTTTTAACCCTGAGGCCTCAAAGGACAGTAGGAATTTTACTTCTTTTCTCTCTGTCTGTATCTGGGCAGAAAGTTGTATGCCCTAATGCAATATGTGGTCCACAGCAAATAGCACAGCAGTGACTACGCATGTCTGTCTGCTTCCTTTTTATATATACCCTGAGCAAGGATTTTTCTCATCTCATACATCATTCACAAACCACTGCAGTGATTCCCCAAAGTCTATCTGTACCTTCAGCACAGTGAAGAAGAAGAAATGAGCTACTTTAAAAAGGCTGCCTTGTCTCTCTAAAAAGTCTGGCCTTTCACTGCACTGCAAAATCCCTGAGGCTGTATTTTTGGCAGTGTCTCAGGAACAGTTTGCCCTTTAAGACTCTAAATGGGAAGAAAACAACAAAATTGGGGATGCACATTCAGTATTTTAGCTGTTGCTCCAAGCACACCCCTTTTATGACTCTGGAAGTTTGTAATTTTATTCAATAAGAACTCTCACAACCAGATAATGGTATTTCACATCATAGGTCTTTTAAGAGCAAAACCAATCTACCTGAAACATGACAAGAAGAAAATAATTTATCAAAGTTGTGTTGAATAGTGAAATAAGCTGACTTCCACTATGATTATATTTTGGGTTCATTCATTTTATGAAATTATTGAGGAATAAGTTTGAGCAACTGAGTATTTGGCAGACAGCAAATAATTGTGTAGCAGGCTGTTCATCAAAAGCCTCACAAATTAATACAGAAGTTACACTCACCTGTTTTGTATCTGGATTCATTAGATTTAAGCTGCTGGTGGAGATATTCAACATTATGCTCATTCCTGCAAACTGAAGATTGCTCTTTCCCAAGATGCTAGAAAGGACTTTGCTTGGTGGCTGTGAGGAGGGGGGGAAAAAGCAGATTTTGGTTCTCTGATTTTTTTGAATGACCTTCATTGTATGCAGGGTTAGTGTGATCTTAAAGGCTTCTAAAAAGTTTATGACTTTTCAAAGATCATTTAATTGCAACAGATGTCTTCCTCTGGAAATTATTTCTCATTTATTCTACTACTACTACAACAACAATAACTACTACTACTATTAATAATAACAGTAATAATAATAATAATTATACTAGCCAAGCAGTTCTTCATCTACTCTTCACAAAAAAAAAAAAAAAAAAAAAAAAAAAAGGGGGTTTGTGAGACAGCACCAGTGTCATCTTCACCAAGGGACCAAGTAAGCAGACTAAGATGAATGCTTTCAGTCAGTATCTTAAAACAACAATGGTTTTGTCCTATAAAAATAGCTTCAGCTCTTGAAGTTTACTGTTTTCTCTACATCTACTGACTATTCCTTGCCACATGGAAAGTGGGACTCCAGTGATACCAATGGAATGCTCACAAAATGGGATACGGAGTATTATGGACTAGATGACCTCTAAAGGTCCCTTCCAACCCCAACCATTCTATGACTTTCCTTGTAGACTTTAGAGTAGGTAAAAGCCAGAATAGACAAATAAAACCTCTTTATGCTGTGGTGAAATATGCATCTAAAGATTATCAGAGAATAAGTCTAAGAATGTAATACAGGGGATGTAATAGTATTGATAACTTTTATAGGCATGCCACCAGCTCTTAGGAGGCATTGCAGCAATAGAAGTTATGCTGTCAAAGGAAAATTCATAAACTTCTCGCTTTTGACAGCTATGGGGAACCACACCGCTGCATGACACCAACTGCATCCAAGTAAACATAGCCTGTAAAAAAAAAGGCTGCCCAGCAGTAACAGACCAAGCCCTTTAACTTGCTCTACTTGCACTGGTGAATATTCATGCTGGTCATTAGGATATAAACACAAAATTACTGGAGACAGTGCTCTTCTGCCACTATGTTTGCACTTGTCCTAAGCTTCCTGCAAGCTTGGATGGTTTTGTTCCTAGTAGGATGGACACACTTGAGCTTCCGTAGTCCTGAAAGTTTACATATATTCAATTTTATCTTCTTTCCCTTCTGTTTAACTGATTAAAAATATACTACATACATACTGCTTCTATGTAACATACTGCACTATTTCAACCCTTCATGTTACAGAGCTAGTACTTCATTAACTTCTCTTTTGAACAAACTCTTTTGAATATTCTTGTATCTCTTCTTTCCTTAATCCTTCATGATTCCCGAGTCATGCCTAAGGATCACCTACCCACAGTGCAGGTAAAGTGTGAAAATTTGGCTTCAGGAAGTACACGTCACCTTAACCAAACTGATATGCTACTAGTGGCAGAAACATGATGAATGTACAGACCAACAAAAGACACATTTATCTGACATTTATCTGAAATTCTGTTGCTCTTTTCAACAACTTATAAGCAACATTACTTTTAAAACCTGTAATACAGCAAGGTGCCTCACTAGGCACTTGGAATTCTGTTTAACTTATTTTTTCAACTACATTTTGTGTCATTTTGCTTTCCAAGAAGAAAGATAATTTTGTCTTTACTTTCAAATTTAAAAAGAAAAGCCAGAGAACCAAGAAATGCCAGTGACATAAATTTGGTGGAGGTGAAACCATAGTCTTAATTTCTGAGACAATTTCCAATTACACTGTGACACATTGTCACATATGACTGACATTACCAGGACCGGATTCTCCATTACAAACAAGTGGCATTTCATTGCGTTCCTTTCTGTTAAGATTCTGCCCAGATGGTACAGCAGCTGAAGAAGCAGGCAGACCTTTTCCTTCACCTGCACATTCTCCTTCTGTGCCCAAGAACACACAAAAGGGCTATAATTAACTACTTTGTATGCTTCTTTCCTTAGAGATAGCATCACATCCCAGCTTTGCTAGCAGGCCTCTGGAAGAGACCGTTGAGAGCCATCAGTGCAGGAGCTGAGCCAAGGCTTCCTCCTCTCCCTGTAGGAAGACTCTAACTCCCAGCACACAAATAAAAATAAAAGCATGGTAGTAATGATATCAGGTACACACTGGACTCATCATCACTGGGCACTGAGCATCAGCCACAGGTGTTTACGGAAAAAGCAGAGGGAACAAAGGATCACCTCATATGCTCTTTCCATTTCCAGAAATCAGTGATTACCAAACTCTTCAAATGTCATCAGTATATCTATCTTTCAAAAACAAATCTAGTCACTTTCAACACTATATATGTTTTGTGCTTCTGCTGTATCTTCCAGCACCTATTTCCATAATTTACTCATGCATTTTATGGAAAGGCATCCCATTAGTTGGTTTTAACTCTTCCACCTGCAATCTACAAAAGAAAGTAAAAGGAGGAGGTTTCTATGGAAGGAACATAAAGGCACAATCTTCATCCTAGATGTACTTATACTTCCAGATGCGTACAGAAGCAGATCCTGACCAAAAGGGCAAGTGAAAACATACAGTGAGTAAAAATAGCCAATACTTTAAATGATTAATCATCTGCAATTCTCAAAGCTGCCTTAAAGTCACCTGCCTGCTGTGCCTGGTCTCCACTGTGCTGTACAGAGAAAATACAGTCAACTGCTCTACAAGAAAAAAAATACCTTTCGTTTCTTGAAGGCTCTTTTGGCACCAGGCATGGCTTCACAAACACGACTGATTGCTTCCCTGAAGAGACAGAAAAAAGCTTTATGGCAAAAGAATGTGTGGGTTTCTTCATTATGCTTGAAATGCACTGGAGAGAATAGTTTCAACTGTATTTCTGCACACAAGTGAGGATAGTTAGCAGGTCAGTTAGCTTTCCTTTCCTTTAAAAAAGAAAATGTTTCCTCACACTATTAAAAAGACTTTTTCTCAGTGTAAATTAGAATAATGCTCATAATACCATCTTTCCAGTCTCACTTTTGTACATTGCTTAACACCTTCTTTTATAAAAAGTTTATTTTAATGTGGGAGTTAGAAAGCATAATTTTTCTTACTACTATACTATGTACTTTTCCAGTTAGAGCAAAACCACCAGGAGGTTAAATAGTAACAGAACCCTAAAATACTCTTGGTAATATGTACATTCTATACAGTACATGAGATGTACATTTTAATTTGTATTATTTCAATACAGTCTGAGTAGTTTATTAGTGACCTTACTCTTATATTATAGGGAAAATCATTGCCTGAAACAATATTTTGTTTCAGTTTTTTAATGTTGCTTCATTCTTCCCATCGCACTTGGGTTGACTGAAGGAAATGTATGTCCAAAATGGATGTGAATTTTTACCCTTCATAGAAGAGTAACTCTACATCACAAAAACTCTTGAAATTATACTGCTCCAAACAAATCTTACAGTTCCTCTCAGTATTTAGCAACTTATTATCTGAATGGTCAGTCTGGTCAGTGTTTAGAATTTGCTCCTGTACACACACAGGCCTTCCCTCTGACCACTAGGTACAAGGCTTTAATAGGCTTGTCCCACTACAGGACAGAATGGTTTCACAGGAACAAGAAAAGGTGACTCCCAACCCTGTTTAACTATTTTTATATGTATTGAGACTAACAGCACATTATATTTAGAGACAAAACCATGCAAATAACACATACTTTATGCAAAAACCCCCAAAACTCAAAACCAAACCAAGTGACCAACCAACCAACCCAAAAAAACCAAACCAGAAAACAAAAGAATGGGAAACTATGAACTACAAGAACAGGCAAAATAATCAAAACTTTGAAACATCATCTAGATAAAGCATAAATTATATTAACTTTATGCCATATGCTGTATATTTCAACTATGCACAGGATCAACAAGTGAGTCAGGAGAACAATGCCATACACATATATCAGCATTCACTCAACAAATGTGACAGATTATATCAGGTGGCAATCAGTAACTGATATAATGTCATGCCTTGTGCGCTTTTAGCTTGGACCCAATTCAAGGTTGGAATCACCTGAAAGAATCACATTTTATTGGTTTCGGGGAGATGGGTGTTTGGGGGAATGGAACACACTGAAGCAGGTTTACAGTCCTGCCATTCTGAAGAAGTGCAAGATTTATAGCGAGAGATGGTTAAAAAATCTTTCAAGTACCCTATCTTTCCTTCAGGTCTAGAGGAGAGGTGGTTTGTTCCATAGTTTCTCTTATGCCTTTTTTTCCCCCAGCTACATCTGTTTATCTAATAAAATTGCCTCTCACAACAAACCCTGCCTTCCATATGCACTTAAGACCATTATAGCTACAACAATACCCTAATTCACAGTTCAGCGCCTGTATTTAGTTCCCACATTCACCACATTTTTTTTTCCTCCAAACAAGTGTTTTAGTTAAAGTAATAACTAGATTTTCTTACAGAGCAATTAAAAAGCAGTTGGCTTAAAAGAACATGTCTGATGCATCTTAGAAATAAAACACAGCAAGAATCACACAGTGATCACCATAATACTGGGACAAGTGTTATTCCTGAAAATGTAACCAGGGAAAAGTAAATAGTACACCTCTCAAAAGAAAAATTCACCAAAAATGCTTTTGTTTGACTCAAGAAAAACAAGCAGACATCATCTTTTACAGAGTCATCCTTTCTGGCTACTGAGCTAAAACTTGTGGTTTCCTGTCTCTTTCTTCTGCTGAAGCAAATCCTTTGGAGGTAATAGAATGAGAAGTTCAGGCCAGTGGTGGTCTCCAGCCCACTTCAGTCTTTCAGACCCACGCCTCTTGCTTCACCAGGTGTGTCTTAGTTTTCCAGGCATTTTGACTGCAAGCTGCACTCACAGAGACATCACCAACACTTGTGAGCTCTTTGTCTATTCCAGTGGTTCAACTGGTACATTGAGATACCTTGTAGGTTTTGCCTCTCACAGAAAGGACTTGGATTTCTGAGATATGGGCTTGAGGGATAAATTAGTCTATCATTTCCTTTCTCTTCCTATTTGCCCCCGTCATCTTCTCTCTCTAGTGGCAACATGGAACTTACAGAAAGCCAAGGGGATTTTCAGGCCACTGAACCCAACAAAAAATGTGTGCAATCTCATTATTTTTCTAGGGCAGGGTTTGGTCTTGTAGCAGTTTTGCTACTACCTCTCCTATCTGCCAGCTCCTGATAACCAGACATTAAATGTGTTATCCAATAGATTCATCTGAGTCAAGGACCTTGTTGATCAAAACTACCACTTGAGATAGGAGAGGAAATAACTAGGTGAACGCTGAAGCCCAGGGCAAGGCTTCACAAGGCAGCCTTGACTACTCTTTGCATGCCCTGTCTTGGCAGAGCAGAGAAGACTTAAAAAAAATCCTAACAAACAAAAAAAACCCCAATCAAATAACCAAAAAAAAAAAAAAAAAAAAAAAAAAACAAAAAAAAAAAACACAAAAAACCCAAAAAAAAAAAAAAACAAAAAAAAAAAAAAACCCCAAAAAAAAAAAAAAAAAAAAAAAAAAAAAAAAAAAAAACCACAAAAAAAAAACCCAAAAAACCCACAACAACAACAACTGGGCTACATGTCCCCCCACTCCCTAAAAAAACCAGCTATCTGTCTTCCTTTTGGTAATATATCTTGGTTTTACAGAACTCAGTGTTCCCAAAGGCTGTGGGAAGACTGGGAGTCTTTGGGTTTTGAACCTCTGTGAACAATAAATGTATTCAAGCAACTGAGGGTTCAAGTTAACAATGCTTTTAGTAAAAATGCTGGGAACTTCAGAAAACATATTCATAGAGCAATTCTGTGTAATCAAGGTCAGAGTGTCCTGGCAGCAACTCTTTGCATGCCTGCAACAGAAGGCACAGTACTTTTCCTGCGTGGGAGTTAAGGAGTCTAAAAGCAGTATTTGAAGAAAATAAGAAGAATAAGGACAACCAAACATCTGTAACTGCACTAAATATGCATTTTATCTAAGGGCCACCAAGATGCTTAGAGGGATGGAGCACCTTTCCTATTAGGAGAGGCTGAGAGAATTGGGATTGTTCAGCCTTGAGAAGTGAAAGCTTTAGGGTGAACTAACATGACCTTCCAGCAGCAGAAGGGAGCCTACAAGAAAGGTGAAGAGAGATTTTTTACAAGACCATTTAGTGATAAGAAGGGGGGAATGGCTTCAAACTGAAATGGTAGGTTAGACAAGATATTAGGAAGAAATTCTTCACTGTGAGGGAGGTGAGGCACTGGAACAGGTTTCCCAGAGAAACTGTGGGTGCCCCAGCCCTGTAGGTGTTCAGGACCAGGTTGCATGGGGCTGTGAGCAACTTGGTCCAGTGACAGGTATCCCTGCCCATGGTAGGGGATTGGAACGGAATGGTCTTTACAGTCCCTTCCAACCCAAACCATTCTATGATTCTGTGACAGCTCCCTGATCAGACGGCCAGATAGACTAGTGATGTGGAAAGGATTGCCTAAAGACTTTTTTCAGCTTGCACAGCTAGGAAGGACAGGGTAGATGTAACTATTTTTTTTCAGCAAATCAAATTTGAAAATGCCTCAGCAGCACCTGATATACAAATCAAGCCCAGGAACAGGTATTGCCACTAGGCTGACTTGTGCATGGAAATCCTTGCCTAAGGAAGGCAAAACCAAAAGTTCTGTATATATCTGCATGGTTAAATATTGCACAATTTGGAAAAGTTGGATGTGATTACATTTGCTTCCTTTCTAATAAGAAAATTATTTGACATAGACAGACATTACACCATTCTAAGCAACATCCTACTTCATTAGCTAGGCTCAGATAAAAAACAGTGTAAAGTTATGCCTATCTCTTGTAAAATTAGTTATTGTGCTGTCTGCAGTAAGGACCACATGCTGAGTTCCAAATCTGCCCAAGAGTATTTTCTGATTTGCAGATGGTCATTCTGTGGAGTCATTTTCTTGGCACAAAACATGTTGCATATTTTGAATATAATTTCAGCATTCAGTGCATCCAGTAAAAAATCACAAATATTCATTTTCTGAGATTGACAGATACTGCTTTAAAGTGGCTTGACATCTGAGAAAGAAAAAAGGACATTTTACATTGCTATTTAGTTCCATTAAAAAGACTAATGCCCTGGTATCATTCATAGCTTTAGTGATATTTTATTCTGTTATACAAAATAGTCCACTCAGAAAATTCAAATGTGTTCCTCTATGAAACATCATCACATGAAAATACTCTCCATTTTTTGATTGTGCTGTTCCTGTTCTTAATTAATATGATTTAATTGATTAAACCCCAGAATTCTGGAACTCATATTTCAGGGAAATTACATACACGTAGAAAAAGCACAGATTTTCTCAGCATATTTGGAAAAAGTGAAACCATCTCAAAAAATGAGATGAGAAAATGTGACTACATTTTAGTCTGAAATGTTTGTTTCCAAATATTTAAAACCTACTAATACTCCTTTTTAAGATATTCTAGTGTCCTGTAGTTTGCAAGTTTACTTCTCCCCACCTCAAAAGTTTAGGACTTCACAGGTTGAAAAACAGAGAGAAAAAGACTGACTTTTTAAATGGAAGAACTGTTCAGAAGGTACACAGTTATTTCTTAACAGTACTAAGTTCCTATCAATTTTAATCAAGTATTGTACCAGTATTTGTTGAGGAGAAGCAAAGTCTGTACTAAATTTTAAAATAACTTGCTTCTGAGAAAATATTTTTAAAAAAGAAAGAAACAGAGACCAAAAATACATTTTTAGAAGTCTGT